ATCACTTTATATAAGCACAAACCCTAACTCTTGCAAATGCCCAGCCCTTTACACCAGTTGCTACCTCAAATATATAAGAAGGTCTAAACTGGAAGTCGATATAAACTTCCAGAAATCCGAATAAATCCTCAACTTATGCAATGCCCTAAAAATAAAAAGCTCAAAAGGATGACACCTTGAACAAATTCAATTAGATTAAAAAAACAAAACATCTCAAATTTAAAAGCAGAATCATACCTGAATGATAGATACTTGCGAATGAGGGAGGCTGTAGACGGTTATGAAAAATAGAAATTAAGCAAACGTTTCTGATGTATGCAAAATCATGGATAAAAATTGTAGCAGAGAGTTAAAAAGACCGAACAATGAAGAAGATCTGGCAGCAGATAGAAGCTCCGAGGAAGACGAATCCTTCCCTGTCACTAGCGTAATTAGGCTTTCATTTTCGAGATTGAAGACGGAGCTCTGCGACTTCCTTTTTGATATTTTCTATCTTTTTGCCCCTTTTCGCCATTTGTGACTTTGTGTTGAATATCAATTAAACCCCGATGCTTCTTCCCTCCGCACCTCTTCGCGATTTCCAAACTATCACAGAAGCTCCGTCGACATTCCCTGTTCCTTCGTTTCCCTTACAGTCAGTGTCTTCCCTTCACACACTATGCCGGAACCGGGAGAGAAGCAGCCGAGAGCTGCTTGATTGTGAAAGTCAGCTTGATGCCGGAGACGTCGTTTCTTTACAACAATTGATTGTATTGGGTCTACAGCTAAGGATCGGTTGTTTATAGACTGGAGACGAGGTCGATTGTAGGGTTTAAACTAAATTACTAATTAAAAGGGATACCTAGGTAGCTAAGTCAATGGTTACCATAATTATAGGTTATTATTTGTGGAAACTAATTATCAAATTACCTATTTACCCTTATTTATGTATTTAATTATTTATTTTTATTTTAAATTTTGATTGGCTCACATTTATGCATACAATAACACAATACTTACTTTAAACAATTGAACATATCTCTCTCTCTATATATATATATATATATATATATATATATATATATATATATATATATATATGTACTAGGCGAATGCCTACGCGTTGCACAGAAACACCTATATAGTTTTGAAGTCTTTACAAATATTTGTTTTTTTTAAATATAACAATAACGTTGTTGTTAAATTTGATATAATAATTTGTATACTAAATTGATATA